AAACTAATGGTTTTAATAAAATAAGGAATTTTAATTGCTCATCGCTCAGCTTTAAAGGTGAACATGATTTTAAAAGAATAAAAACCAGAAAAACATTAGTTAAACATAGGGCCTAATTCTTGTTTGTTATATTTACATATTAAACACTTGTTCTTTTTTTAAATTAAATAATATGTTTCACTGACAATGGCAGCAGAAGAGCATACCGATAGTCGCTTATGTTCACTTATTGTTTCATTATTCCACCCGCCCAACAGTCTTTCCATAGCTGGCCAATTTCAATTTTTGTTTTGCCTTTGTTTTAAACATTGTTGACGGCGTTGTTGTTGCCGCTGCAATTTCGAACATTTGTTAACGAATTTGTTTGCTTGTTGAACATTCTGAGCGTTCCGCACTTTTCGCATCGGCCATTGTTTGTTTGCCTGCTGCATTGTTGCATTGTTGCAAGTGACGTGGCAGCAGCAGCAGACCTCTCTGTTTCGCTCCGACACGCACTTAAACTGAAAACCACCCACCCTTCAGCCCCCTTGGGATTGCCTACGTGACGCGTTTAAAAAACAATCAATTTTAATTTCAATTTAAATTAGTTGCCGCCGTGCTGTTGGCCCGCCCTTTTCGGCTTAATGCCACTGCAATTCGCCATTAAATTATTTTTGCTCATTTATGCCACTGCCCTTTGCCGGCGACTGTAATGCAATTTAGCGCTGGTTGCCTTCGCCCTATTGTTTAATTTCATTTATTACTAAATTCCGGCAAACGGTTGCGAAACTGAAAATGTAATAAATTTCACTTTAAAATGTTGCGTGTTTTTAGAAACGCTGAAGGACAAAATTGTAAATGGTATTTTGTTATCAAATAAACAGAGATTTTTGTTGAATAAGGCTAATATAATATTTAAAAAAGTCTACAAAACAAATGAACTTTTTTTAACACTTTCAAAAAAAAATCGAAATTAAATCTTAAATTTTATTTAACAGAAAACCCTACATTTTTGGATCGCATGTTCAAGCGTAAAAGCAAAAGCTAGTTTTATTTGCATTTAAAATTGGATTTCATTTCATTTGCAAATATTGCTCACCTCTGAACTTTATCGCACATCGCATTTGCAAATTACTAAACATAAGCATATTAAAATTGCAAAGAGCAAAAGTTTTTTTGTGTTTGCCAGCATTTATGTATTAACAATTAAAATGTTTCCATTGTTCCAATTTAATTTAGGATTAAAAAGCTAGAAGCGAGACATCAAGAGGGAACAACTCTCGGATTTGCGGCACAAACTAAACTCGAACTTTTGTGCGGTGTCCAACTTTTCGTTAATTCCCTCAGAACACGAACAGGTTCTGCTGCCCCAAATATATAATTTAGTTTGGGAATCGGGATTCGGGAATCGGGATTGGGGATCAAGTGTTGAGCTTAACCCGCAACCTAAATCAATCTGAGGGATTGCGGGGTTTTGGGGGGACTTTGGGGATTCCGGGATACGAATGTATCTGCCGCTGGCGCTAAACTACTTAACAGCAAATTTTGCGTAATTTACGTCCTGGCCAGGGAACAGATGGCATTCCTGGGGAGGTTCTGTATCTGTATCCGAGGGATACATTCGACTGGCAGCTGTGGCTGCAGCCGCAAACATGTGTTCCTTTAAGCAAGAAACAGATTTCTGGGAGGCGGGCTTTCGCTTTGGTTTGGGGATAAATTATTGGGTGCGCCTTTTGGACTCCACCTCCTGTGTATCGCCCAAAGTGTATCTTTGTATCTGCACATCCACACATCCTCGTCTCCATCCTCGTCCACATTTGCGTATCTGCGGTTGCGTGGTCTTAGCCAGAACCGAATCAAAGCATTTAATGGCGCTTTTAATCTTGTTAATCGCCCCTTTCTGGCCCGACTGAGATTTTCCAGATAGTTTCGACCGCCGGATGCCTTGTTTATGTGGGCGTGGCACGAGTAAATTGCCTTGGCACCGAGCGGATATATAGTTAAGTTGTGATAAGCCCCAAAGGTTTAGCAACCAAAATTGTTGCATACTTGCGGGCGTCTTTAAACGGAGTTTAAGAACTGGGCGCAAAATAAAGAACCTTAAGTCGTACGCTCTGGGAATAAAAGGAAACCATCTTATCCACTTTAGCGTCCGTCAAGGACAATTTTGACATGTTCAAATCCTTTTTGCCCAGTCCTCTCCCTCGCACAATGAATATTATTTCTTTATGCAAATTTCCTCGGGAGCCGCCACTTGTTGGGTGCCCCTGGAAAACCATTTCGGTCTCCTCTTTCGCCCATTTGCGTGATATTTTGTTGAGCAAGACAAATGATTTCCATTTAATTTATTTTCACTGCTCCGCTCGCTTTGCTTGGCTCGTGGCGGCAAAAGGATTTAGCTGAATAAATTATAGGTTGAAATTGTTACATCTTAGAGGGGCCAAAAGGGTGGTGGGGTATAGGGGGTATATACAGTAGTTGAAGACAAGTGCAAATAAAATAAGGGCGCAAGCCGCTGACAAATGTTGGCCAAAAGTGGAGGGTCTTTGTGCAGCCAGCGATACGCTAAGAAAAAATGGAATTTATCGCTGCTCTATGGATGCTCTTCAAATGCCCCAAAGATCTATTTACTACACTGGTAAAAATATAGTAGGTATTATATTAAAATTTTAAATTATATCCCTTACAAATATCTACATTTTCTTATTGATTATTTTGTGTAATATTTTTTGTACCCTTGCAATTAATTTTCTTTCTTCCTTCAGAGTCTGAAGTTCAGACCCTTTAAGCCAGCTGCATTAATTAGCCAGACGAGAGAACTTGCTGCGTATCAGGTATTTTGGGGGGCTTATGCAAACATGGCCAGCTGGTCAACTGGAATCTTCCCCTCCAGACGCGCACACGTGTGATGCCCGATCTTCCCATCCTCCGATTTCCATGTGGGGGCAACGCTCAGTGAAATTTCACACTTTGTCGCTTTGCATATGGGCACGTAAGTGGCAGTTGGCTGTTGCAAGTTGGCTGCGTGGTAAGAGAGGGTTAGAGGGGCAAGAGGGGGCCAGAAGGGCAAATGGAGCTAGCTGCAAGCGATTACAAACGCGCCGACTTGTAAATGGCGGCCAATGTGCGGAGCTGCTGTTGCTGCTGCGACTTTGGCTCTGGATTTCGCTTTTGGTTCTGCTTCGGCTTTTTTGGCCCTGTTTTCTGGCATCGCGTGCCGTTTTCGCGATAATGAAACCGAAAGGCTATGCGCACCAAGCCAACTTGAAGCTTAGAGCTCCCAAAACATTGCCAACTGGCAGAGACCAAAACGGGCAGTTCCGAAAATCGAAAACTCAGGCATTTTTATTCTCATTTAAATTAAGGGTTTAAGCCAACAAAAAATACAATTAAAAATCATCAAGATATTAAATTTATGAAGACTTAGAGTTCAGCTAAACTTATGAAGATTGTGATGAGTCCTGAGCCCTAAATAAAATAATAGCCCAAAAGCCAAGAACGAAAGTCGTGTTTCATTGGGTTCTTGTTTTTGTCAAGATCGTGTAATTATGATCCTAAAAAAATGATCAAAATGTAAAACAAAATAATGTCATAGGGTTATATTTTCTTACCCGTTTTTGATTATTTGTTGCTTATGTACTTAAAATTTAATAATTTATTAATTGGACATTATTAGATCAATAAAATAACCCCTAAACTTTAAACTCGGCTAGATTTTTACAAAACATTTATTTATTGAAATTGAAATCCAGGCCACCTCAGTGCAGAAATCGCCGTTCTGTTGCAATCGGCCCTCTCAACCGGGCGACTAATCAAGTGCGAATCCTTCGGCCAGCTGGAATGTTTCCGACTCCTTCTCCTTTGGCGAGCTGCCTTCCCGGGGAGGTGAAAAGGTGGAGAACAAGGAGAATCTGGATAGGAGCAGCTAGCGATGCGTGTAACTTTTTCAATTAATTTGGCTAAGCTTGAGAGAAGTTCTGAGTTGAGCTTGGCTGAGACATGGAGCCCCGATTCACTGCACTCCTCTGCCCACCGAACTCCGGCTGAAACTGTTTACGGCTGAGTTATTTCAAAAATGTTTTGCATATCAGATTGAGTCTCTGAATCTTGGCATGGTAGCCCCGGGGCGGCACTTAAACGCCTTCGTTTTAATTTAATAAGAGCTTGCCAGGCGAGCGGATGCTGATTCAACTGGTAACTGGTGACTGGTAGCAGCTAGCTGCTCTGCATCCCAAATGAAAGACTCCGCGAATATTCTGCACTCCTCCAATCCGACTTCAACTCCAAGTCGGACTTTGCTGCATGTCAAATTTGAATTTAGCTGCATTTTTACAACTGTTGCAAAGTCTCTTTTTCAGTTTTTCAGTTTTGCAGTATTCAGTTTTCCGCTTTCAGCTCTCTGCATTCGGAATCGGAATCTGCCGGTGGCGGCAGTGGAAATCGCATGTGAGCCAAGTCAGACAGTTGGCAATTTGCATAAATTTAGATTAGTGACATCTGACGTGAGTCTCTGATATGCAGAGCCAAGCTGGCTCCTCCAAGCGGCATTAAGTGGGGGGATTCGGGGATTGGAGGCGATTGCCACCTCCTAATTCTCCAGCCAGATAAGACCCGACCATGCTCCTTGCTACAGTGAAACTGCCACCGACAATGGAATATGATTTATGGAGTGCACTCGAGATGGGGCAAGGAATCAGGCCGAGAGGCTGCGTGAAATTCAACAGCTCAAGTGGAAAATTAATCGCATGCAAGCTCATTATGAGCATTAGTTGACTGTTTGTTAATTGTCGCCAAAGCGGAAGGCAGGATAACCGGCAGAAGGAGCAGTTTCGGGTCTTTGGAAGGCAGGAAACCAACTTGAGCTGCATGCGAAATTGCCAGCCATATTTCAATCAAACTTGAGCCGACACAGAGCTTAACTAATTGCAATCAGAAATGGCAAAGGCTCAAAAGAGCTGGAGATTTCACACCAATTTTTGTTAACTGAACTTAAAAAATATTTTTGAAAAATTGTTAATGATAACTGCTAAGTTTTTAGATGGTTATCTAAATCCCAAAGGGTCTTAGGAATATCTGGGGTTTCTTGTTAGGATCGCAGTGCTCGTACCCCTTACTCCAATCATAACCCAAGGCATAGGCAAATAGCTGACCATCGCCACTGATCGAGCACTTGGTGATCGGCTGATCATGAGCCTGGCTCTGCATTAACATGTTGGACATCTGGGAGTCCCAAAAACAAAACACTCCATCCGATCCCACGGTGGCCATCTGGTTGGTCACCCTATTGACCTTCACCTCATGCACCGCATGGGTGTCCAAGAAGCCATCTAGTGCCTCTTTGCGATGACACCTGATGACTCTTGAACTCTTCATTAAGCTTTGCTCGTACACAATGCCATCCGATTTGGCTAGAAACCAACTACTGGCTCCCAACTCTTTGCCCTGACAAATGGCCACAGATCGCACTTGGGAGCTCCTCTGACCAGGGCATATCATCTGTGTTTGGTCCAAGGGTCCGGTGTTCAGGTTTAAAACCATGACGGATTGATCGGCACAGGCCACCACAGCCATGGGATGGAGGACATCGGCGGCGAAGCTGCGATCCGGAAGATCCCTCTTGGCCAATTCGATGGGAGTGCGCGGATCCCAGAACTAATAATTTTTTAAAATATAAAAAAAATATTAATAAAAATAAATGTAATAAATAAATGTACTATTTAATTTTAAATAGGAATTATGTTAAGAATTAGATTGAGAATTAGTTAACAGCAGAAGCTAGGGGAATAAGCTGGCAGAGCAGCGGCAGAGAAAATGATTTTTCCACTGAATTAGATTCAAATGATTTATGTTAAGGGTCTTAAAGACCAAGTCTTTAGGACATTTGAAAATTATTTGTTATATAATAACTCTAAAATTTAAACGTTTAATGTATGACATCCAAGATACTTACCCTCATGGTCTTATCCCACGAGGTAGTGATCAGGTAAGAGCCCAGCCAATGGCAAGTTCGTGCTCCTTGCTCATGAGCACCCACCTTGGCCAGCTGATTGGATTCCAAATCCCACTGGATCACGGCGCCGTTGGTATCGGCCACATATATCTTACTGCCCGAATCGTTCCAAGCGGCATCCAAGGGAATGCCATCCAGAGACTTTTTGGCCTTGGGCACGACCTTGTCCGTCTGCACTTCCCAGACGCTCACCGACTTATCCCAACTGCCAGCGCACAGAGCGTTCCAGGAACTCGATCGCGGTACAAACTCCAGGGCAGAAATGGAATCGATGGGCGGATCGGGCAGCTCGTAATCCTTCTGCTGTTGTGGGCTTTTTTGGTTTGCTTCATACATAATTGGGGTGGTAATATTCAAGCGTTCTATAACTATGATTTTCGGACTTTTACAACTAATATAATCTAATTTTCTATGGCGTCAAAGTCGTGGATAACTTTAAATGTGGAGGATGAAATATATTTCAAAGCCAAAACAAAGTTTTAAAATACTTAAAAATATTAAAGATTTTTCTTCAGAGAGATTTTCAATAATTTAATTAAGTAAACAAGTGAGTTTTACAAAATTTAAAACGTATGCAAATGTAAAACCTTAAATGCTCGGTATTATCAGATTTGTATACAAGTTAAATCAAACGTAGTGATGGTTTCCCTGTTGTGTGGATTTTGTGGCAGCGACTAAAGCTTCTGATCGAAAAACGAAGGCGATGGCAACCGAAACAATTCCCCAGCCAATATGCGAACGGGAATTCCAATAAAATGAACAGCAAACCAAACAGTTTCCCGCCCCTTAACCCACTAAACCCCCTTTTTCGCCCATGGACGTGCAATCCCTGCGAACGTGCAAATATTTTAACTAAAATGGCGAGTGCGAGTTACTTTTATCTGCTTTGGCGCAAAAATACGAATCGGTATTTGTGAGTGGGTGGTGGCAGCAACCTTGGTACCCTAACCACCGCCCACTAAAATGCCATGCCCCCTACCCCCGCACACACACTCACACACACGCTGTTTTTCAGTCAACATAATTTAACTACTTTTATGGGCCAAGTAATACGCCGCTGTTCAGGGGTGGTGGGGGGCGGCAGAAGCGGAAAAGTCCACCCACCGACCCACTGAACTTTCGCCTCCTTCCCCACGTGTTTCAGGTTTAAATTTTAGCATTTTCTTTCATCTCACGCGTCCCGTGTGCAATATTCACAATGTATTTTACACACCATGTGTTTGCGAGTGTTTGAAGCCCCCTTCGCCCACCACCCACCTCTACAGCCCTACGCCCCTGGAAGCTCTTCGCCCGAGTTTATTGGCTTCGCAGCATACTTTGAAATTTACTGAGTTTCTCTTGTAATGCCTCGCTATATTGAAATTAATTACAAACAAAGGATGCTCCTTTGGGCCTGGAGGAAACAGCATGCTGTGCTATGTCTCATCCGAGATACCTAACCCCCTCCACCCTCCACCTCCCCACCCATGGACTTTTGCACCGTGATGAAACGAATGTTTCGCCAGCGGGCTCTAATTTCTGATGTTTGTCTCGCTTGAAATAAATTGCGGCAAATAGAAGGCCATTTTAAAATAGAAGAAAAATATATTTGAGAGGGCAAAAAGGTACATAAACAAACTATTTAAATTGAATTTTTTGCAATTTCACGCTTAACTTATTTAACTCATTTGGCTATAATTGTTATTTTGATAATTGGCAATTGTTGTTTTTTCCCAACTTTTTCAACAAATTAAGTTCAAATGAAAAAATTTAAAGCCGACCAGGTTCAAAAACAAAAAGCTGATAATTAAATTCCCAAATGTGCAACGTAATTCGGAGCAATCTTATTTACACTTAATAAATATTATATTATCCAGGTCGCAAGGGAAAAAATTACAAAATCTAGGGGGAATATTAATGGTAATTGAAAAAGCTAAAGCTTTTACAAAAAGTCGTTGTTATTAAGTGGTACATTTTTTAAATCTAAAAAATACATTACAAGAAATGGTATTGGATATTAACAAATTAATCTGCGTGCACATATATTAATTAATTCAAAATATTTATTAACTTTTGGGTTATTTACCTTTATGCATCCCAAAATCAACTATCAACCATCGATTAAAGCGGCAACTCAGACTAATTAAAAATGCTTTGGCCAAAACCCTGGCAAAGGGAATTTGTTCGATTGTGTAAACAATTTGGCAAGAAAAACAAGGCTGAAAACGAGGAATTTTCTCGTTTCGGCTGGGATAATTGCATAAGCAGCAGAGAAATGCATTTGTTTGCCCAACTTTGATGAAGTTCAACAAAAGTCGGCCGGCAACTGAGGAGGAAGTGTCTTGAACCCGCTCAAGGCCGCTGATAAAAGTCAACACAAAATGTTGAGAGTCAACAGAGAAAGTTGAATACATCCAACATGCGTATATATATGGTGTGTTTCAGAAGACTGGGAAAAACAATATTCGCATATTTGCACATTACAAATATATAAGAGAAACGCCTCACGACAAGACAATTAAAAGAGCTTCAAATTGAGAGGGATTTTCCAGGCCGAAGTTCCTTCGTTCTTTCGAGATTTTCAAGACACGCTGCGCACATTTAGCCAAATTTGATTTCGGCCAGACAGACTGAATGAAATGGCTTTATCCCAGAGATTTCTTTTTCAGCGCCCTTTGTTCGGCAGATGATGTCTAGCCTGATGCTAATGAAATTTGCGCCGTTTATGCCGCTGAAAATTGTCCTGCCACAGGAATTTAAAATATAATCCTGGCAGGGCTGACTTTTCTGAAGGCAAAACGAGCGATAGCTAAAACAAAACATTCGATTCAATTTCAGGTCGCAGCTGTGAAAAGAAGCATAAAATATAAGGAAAGTCAAAAAAATTTAACATGGGTAAGGGTATGCGCTTTAAAATTTAAGGGAAATTTAATAAAACTTTAGAAATTAATACTAAAAGTTTTATAATTTAAATGAGTATTTCATATATCATACCTATTTATAAGAAAATAGAGCCTTTCTCTTTTCTGAAATTGTATATAATGGACATCAGTAAATAAAATGGATCTTAAAAATCTTCAGATTGTAAGTAAAAGTATCGTCAAATCTTTGTAGACAACAATTTAAATATTACCTTAAATATTATCTCAAAATTTAACAATTACTAAGAGGTACATTTTCGCTCATTATTAATACCTAAATAATTAATAATTAATTAATAATAAAACAAGAGAGAACGCTATAGTCGGGTTGGTGTCCCGACTATCTAATACCCGTCACTCAGCTAAAGGGAGTGCGAACGCTGTGTCGGGTTGGTGTCCCGACTAATAATCATAACTCAGCTAAAGGGAGTGCGAGGGAGATAGATATATGTTGACAATTTATAAAGCGTATAACTTTTTAATGAATGGTCCGATTTGAAAAATGTCTTCTACATTTCGATAGGTATAAATATACACAACAAAATTGCATTTATACTTCTCGGAAATCTTTAAAGATGTGGGCGCAGGACCCATTTTAAAATCGTTAGTGGGCGATTGTGGGCGTTAGAGGGGGCGTGGCGCTCGGCTAAAATAAACTTGCGCTGCGTAGGAAGCCAAAGAATATGTGTGGGAAATCTCAACCGTCTAGCTTTTGTAGTTTCTGAGATCTCAGCGTTCATACAGACGGACAGACAGACAGACGGGCAGACGGACAGACGAACATGGCTAGATCGACTCGGCTAGTGACCCTGATCAAGAATATATATACTTTATGGGGTCGGAAACGCTTCCTTCTAGCTGTTACATACTTTTGCACGAATCTAGTATACCCTTTTACTCTACGAGTAACGGGTATAATTAATACCTAAATAAAATACATTTTAATTATTTTGTGAATTGTTGAACTTAAGTATAGTACAAGAAATATTTATATGATTTTAGGCAGGATAATTTTCATAAAATAATAACTTAGCATCCTTGGCTCACGCTGCCACCCCTGAGTCTGGCTTAATTCCAAGGCGTCAACTGCGGTGAAACGGAAGTGCGGTCGAAATTAAAAAGGAGTTTAGCCAAATTGCTATTGAAGCCCCGCGAAGCGACCGAGCAGCGTTGGTAGTAGGGAAAATCAAGCGGCATGAAGGCCGTGAAACCGAGCGTTTGCGTGGCTTTTGCTTCTGCGGTTTATTTGGGCAAAGTGCCAGTTCAGAGCAGACCAAACAGTTGCTACTCATTCGGTCGGCCAAAGGACCAAATTGCAATTGAGGGGGCGGGAATGAATGAGGAGCAACCTTCCATGGGGGAGGATGGTTGCAAGGATGCTATCTGCTCAGTCGCGCGACAGTTTAATTGGGTTAGCAACGTCAACGGCCTGTCCGCTGCTGGATCATTGGCGCTGACATGCCCTACCACATCCTCCCACCCATTCTGCTTTCACCACCCAACGCCCTACACCCACATAACACCCCCCATCGATTTTCCTGTGCCTCACTCGCTTTGGATTATTTCGTAATTAAACGCAAATGCAGAAACCAAACTCGCTTTTTCGCTGTTTTTCGCACACTTTATTATGGTTCTACCTGAGTTGTAGGGTATACTGAACTGAGATTATAAGTTTCTGATCAGCAACGGCATAATATTGGTAACAATTGGATTTGATCCGAAGAATTTTGAGGATAGCATCCTCCTTTTGTTGACTCTAATAAAGTGTTTATCCAATATCTTAATATTTGTTTATTTTCATAAAACAAATCAAAGGGTATGTTATAGGTCTAGTTTATACCACTCATTTTTTTTTGCGTATATCATCAAACGTTCCATTAAAGCCTCTTTTTCTGCACTGCATTTTGATATTCCTTTTTTCCACCATCATCGATTGTTGCTCTTGTGGCTGTCTATTTTTGTGGCTCTACTCGCTGGTAGAGGAATTAAATGGTTGATTGACCTTTTCCGCTCACCTCGCTGCTTTGATCAGTTAAATGTTAATGAACTTGTGGGTAGTATCTCTACCAAAAGTGAGAATTTTCGTTAGAGGCTTAAATTGCGTTGAAAACTGTAGGCGAAATAAATTTCTAGGTAAAAAAGAACTTAGAACAAATATACAAATATTTACATTCTTTGGATAAAATTCAAATAAATTTTCTGCCTACCAAAAATAAATATAAATAATTTTTATTTTTAATAAACTTTTCCAGGCTAATTTTCTCTTGCAATTTGTCTTTGTTATAATTTCGCTGACCATCGATTTTCAATTTAAAGCCCACTTTGTACACACGAATTGTTTAAGCTCTTGTTTGCTGGCCAAATTTTCCAAAACATTTCATTCGCTGGCGGAGACCTTAACCCATCGCCAAGCTGCTTATGTTGTTTGCATTTTGTTAAACAAAAAATTAAATAACAGCTCCCGCAAACACCGCCGCGCACACTCTTTGGCGCCCCCGGAGGGACGGTAAGTGCTATTATTTGTTATTTGGTAAATGTGCAACAAATGCCCCACCCATGTGGCATGGACCGGGGACCAACAGACCCGCAGAACCGCGATGGCAGAAGCAGCAGGAAAAACAGCAACAAATTGCAATATCTGCCAGGACACGGGAACGAGGACATGGGGACCTGCATCCAGGCGTGGCATCATAATTAATTCAAATTTGAATTTCCTTTTGGCGCAATGCACGCGCCATTTTACATAGACAGCGGGGGCGTGCAAAAAAGGGGGTTCGCTGGAGCTTGTGGGTGGCACTGCCACGCCCACATGTGTGGCATGTTACGGCATCGGGGCCCCAGCATAATAAACTGTTTAAATATTTAGTCGAAACGAGTTTTTAATACTCGTTGGCGCTTTTAGCAGCTGCCAGCGGTCAGTGGGTAAGGGTTGGGTCAAAAGTCGCCCGAAAAGCTGAGAAGGAATAGGTAGAATCAGCAAGCAAAAAACGGGCAGCTTCCGCCATGTGGCTGCTTTTAAAACCCAAGACCCGTATAATTACAGATTGCCCAGCAACGAAAAAAAATCCCATAAGAAACCCAAGAAGGCGCAGAAGTATGCTCATTAATTTATAATTAGAACAAAAATGGTTGGTGCCCTTTTTCTGGTTTTACAGAAAAACCTTTTACAACAGTAGTATAGAAAATGAAATTCTTTTAAATTGCATATCTAAAAAAATTACACATATATCGAAATAAAATAAATGTAATATTTTTTAAAACTATCTCCTTCGTCTAAAACCTCTTCGTTCATAATTCCCATTAATTTTAATACACTTGGCGCAGACTGAATTAAATTCAAAGTGAGCAAACCGTCTGTTAATGGCTTTCATTGCCATTAAATTTGCATTTCAGTTCTCCTAATATCCGTATTCTCGGATGCCTGCCCATAAAAACCATCAAATAATATTCAGTAGAAACTAATTTGCTGTTCATGAACAAGAAGACCCAGTCGGTGGAGTTTTGTGTGCACTTTCCGATTGCCGAAGCAGAAAAACCCAAAACTAAAACGAACCCAAGGCAGCCACAAAATTGGAAAACGCAAGAAAATGCACACTGGAAAATGCAGCATTTGTTGTCTTGCGCAATTAATGAACAGTCTGTATGTGCTTTTGTGGATCGAGGAGAGCTTACTTATAGAGGGGGTATACTACTTGTGTTGCCTGTCATTTGGCTGAGTGCCGGCATGCGATCTCCTCGCGCCCGTGGACGAGGTGCGAAATGTGGCACGCATCACAGCCAAAAACCTGTCTAATGCATTTTTCGTTTCATTATTTATGACCTGCGTAGACGAACGGCGGCCTCGGCAACATGACCCTCGGGCCACCATTTCGCTAATAAATTTAAAATGGCATTTGCATATAACAAAAACAGCCCACGGCTAGATCATAAGTAATTTCTCTATCAACAGGTAAGATAAAGTATCAAAATGGTGAGGAGATTTTATTGCTTTATATAAAATAAACATGATTTTAAATTCACAATAATTTTACCGTCAATAAACATTAACATTAAAATCGATTAAAATTTAAAATTAAATACATATTCATTGAAAGGCTTTAAAAGTTGAGAGCAATAAATACTCGATAATAAGTCTCATTAAACGATATTTTTGTCAACATTGATTAATTCTTTAGTCAATAAATTTGTAGAAAATATACAATACGATTAATAGGCTCAAAAATACAAATATAATTAATATTTAAAATGATCACTCTACTTAACTAGAAAGCTTCGCCTCTTCCACTAATTTAAATTTTTAGCAATGCTAATGAAAAACTTTGAACAAATTTTCGTGTCTGCGAAAGGATGATTTTCTCCCATCAGCGCCGAAAAGAATTGCCCCAACAACCGCCAATCATTCAAGTCCGTCAGCCAGTCAGTCAGTCAGCATTCCATTAGGATGCATCTCCGGGCTCTCAGCCGAGCAACTGGGTCACCGGGTGAATTTTAGCTAAAAATGGTCTTGGTTAGCGCAAAATGCATTTCGCCGGCAAATGACGCGTGCCTCTTGTCTGACAGCCATTGTAGTTGCTGTTTTTGTGCGGCGCATTGGAGCTGTTGGTGGTGCAAGGACCCTCGGCTGATCCACCACTGGCACTCAAACTGACAGCCGGCAAAACCCTAATTGAAATGGAGCTGAAGAATGAGTTTTCAGCCGGAGTGTTCAGTTGGCCCGTGAGCTGTGGCGTAATTAGAAAATGAGCATGGAAATATTTGCGTGTGAAAGCCGCAGACGGCAGATAAATGAATTTTGGTCGAGGCGAAGCTGAAATTGCACGCAAGTCAGTTGATATATGCCATGTTCGTGGAATAGAGTGACTTACCTAATAGATTCTTTGGCAAACTACATGGCCTTCTCATACTCGACGACCGACTCCTTGAGAATTTTGAGTGATTCATTGTAGTGGACTATATCATCTTCTACTTCCCACCGAAACGCACCCGAATTGCTCTGTTTCGTCTGATAACACTTGATCAACTGGCGACCTTCATTCAAGAGTGTAAAGACACTGGGATATTCAATAATGACAATTGTGCCCAAAAATATGGCCGTCTCAACGATGCGCTGTAGATAGGGATGGCAGACCCCATCCTGAAAGTAATGAATATTAATTAAAATACACAGTTGCCTCAAATAAGTGAGAGAACTTACAAGATTTGAGTCGACCATATAATTGGCCGTCACATATTGCATGGATACAAAATCCGAAAGCTGTTTAAATAGATAAAGAAATTACTAAGATATAAAACTCTAGTTTTATTATACAAACCATTTCCAAATGGCTAATAACTATAACCGACTGTTGGGTAATGGTGGCCAGGGCCAATTGAAAAGCCACCATTAGCAAGTCCTTGATATTGTGATCTGTATAGGCCCAGTAAATATTCCTAGTATCGCCGGCAGCTCGAATTGAGGTTCTCACTTTGGTCAAATCCAAGTCGTCGAAGTTCTGAAAGAGATAACTTAATTTGAAGAATTAAGGGCTCAATAATATATTCTTACCATAGGACGCAGCTGATCCTTATTATTTAGACAGGGAACCAAAAACCAAACGGTGTACTCGTTACTGGTGATGTACTCGAATATCTGACGCACTTGGTTCAAAATCTCCAATATAAACTTCCCCTCCGCCAGACGCACTGCTTCATTGACATGGAGGCATGTTTTGAACAATTGGCAAACGACATCCTGTGGTTCCATCGCCTGGCGATCGAAGAGTCTAACAAAGGTCTCGAAGGGACCGTCGTGTTCTCTGAAAAAATAAAAAAAACAAACTTTTAAAATTGCACTTAACTTAAGTTCTTGTAGCTATTTTCCGCTCAAAATAGATAAACAATTTTTGAATCTTAACTAATAGTATAAATACAATTAAATCATCATTTAATTTGTAAAAAAATCGGGTGTTTACCCATTTTTAAAATACAATATAAAATTTTAAAGAACAAGTACATGTTAACATAACATAAGACCTACTTGATGTTGCAATAGGCATCCCCATCGCCCTCGCTTTGAATGACCTTAAGCCAATTTCCGGAGCATTCCTTGTACAGACGACTCAAATAATTGCTCGAGTGCTCAGGGGGCACGAAGAACATGTCGTGGAACTCCGAAATGGTGGCGGTTTCGCTCCTGCCACCATTAATCCGATACGAAACCGAGTCCAAGGTGGAGAAGGTATCGAACTTGCGCTTTACGGTCACCTTGATCACATTGGACTGGATGATCCTCAAGGACGCCTCCTTATCCTTGCGCTCCTTTCGCTTTCTTTGTCGCTCCATTGCCTGTCTTGAGGTGCAGGGCGTCTCATCCAGATCGCTTTCCGGCTCCTCAACGATCTCCGTGGTATTATCTCCATTTTGCAGGGGATGCATTTCAAAGTTCATCGACACGCTTCCCTTTCCCTTGCCAATTTTGAGTTGGGGAATCTTGGTTAGACTTTCGGCATTCGGATAGGTTAGGGAGCAGATCAGTAGAATGGCCTGCGCCACGGGAGTTACAGCCGGCAGATCCTCCGGGAGATTCTTGATCAAATCATAGATGATTATGTGCACATTGTCGGTGGTGGAGAAATTTAGATGCACTTGATCGCAGCCCAAACAATCGTTGATGCTCAGCTAAAAGGAGGTAAATCCTTGATTTTCCGAACTATTTTAGTATCGCCAGAACTCACCGAAACAATATGTAGTTTGTGGTTTATACACAATGCTGTTTCTCTTGGCATTTTGAAATTATTTTGCTATTCGATCCTAACTTTCTCTTGAAAACTTTTTCCAGCGTCCTCCAGTGTTGGCCAGTGCCTAAATATGCTGCGATCGCACTTGGCGAACTATCGATACTTACACCAGCAACTATCGATACTTGGTCTTATCGACTCTGTAAATAAGTATTCGAAAATGCTCCCGAGAATTCAAAACGTTAATTTTAAAAACAAATGCGAAAGAACTTTACACAATCTTGTATATTTAATTAACCAACTAAAATGATCAATGGTAATATAGACCATTAATTAAAATGTTCTTGTATGGGGCAATTTATTTTGATTTGGTTGATTTCAACTCTGACTTTATTTCCAACTGTTACTAGAGTTGAAACCTTTTCTTCCATTTAAAATTCATGACCATCCAGGTGATCACTGGCCACTAATTTGTTGGGATTTCAAATGGCTTGGGGACCTCTAAAGCGGCTCCACCTCCACACATTTTTAGTCTATTTTTTCCCCAGCCTAACGTAAATTTATGAATCAGCAAGGAATCAACATTATTATGAGCCATGGGAAGTGAGCCATTAAATTGGCTTGTCCAGGCCAGCAGACCTGGTGCATAAAATTAGGATTAACGGCTTTCTAAGTGCCATCAAAACCCCCAACTGCCGTAATTCCCAAATGCACGCACTGAGCAACAATTAGTCCGAAAGTCTGCATAAAATGCGAGCTGGCCTTGGTAACTTTTTTAAAAAGCTTATTTCCTTGTTTGACAAAGAGATATTAAATTTAAGGCAACGAAAACAAAAGCGACAAAACAAAACCGAAATTGTGATTTTCTTTTAATTTTTATGACACTGTCGGCAGAGTTTTCGCCAGCGATTTTACGACTTGAAAATAAGAAAATATAAGTGCACTGATAAAAAATAAATAGTAAGTACTTTCGAAATCTATTTAAAATTCCCAAAATTTTAGATACATTTAAATTGCAAAATTTGATTTGTTAATATTTCAATCGTGATAGAAAATATTAGACCCTCAATTGAAGCATTTTATAATCTCACACACTGTCAATAAAGACAGAATTTCACATTCAAATAAAAGTTTAGAATTCTTCACTTCAACCCTAATTTTTCCTTAGTGTGTGGAATAGAAGAACATTTCCTTATCGCTGCTTTTGATGATGCCCAAGGAAATCATTTATATTTCTGGGTTTCTCTTTCCCCGTTTTTGGCCAATTTTATGCTTCTTTGCATTTTTAATGATGATTGCCATTTCGGTATTATTTTCCCTGCGATTTATGAGCTCTGCGGACCACACGTCACGCATTTAATTGCGATTTAATAGCCCAAATGATCGCCAAAAACTTTTGTGCGAACTTGGCATTGCCCTCAACTATTCTGTGATATGTGTGGTCGCTCGAAAAATGGTAGAGAGAATATTCCCTGGCAGCTCGTAAAGCCAGGCGAAATTATGGCAATTTAACGGACAACGCCGATCCATCCGAATGGCCCGCAATTAGATGCCAGCCTTGGGCCAAGTAATTCCTGGCTTTGGTTTCTCCAGAGAACTGGAGGACCGGAGAAGCACAGAAGAAGTTCCAGTCCAGTAGTCGTTGGGGCTTTATCGCCAACATAAATTTCCGCAGATAAAAGCGCGAAAAAAGAGCGCTGCCCATGTCGACACAGCATTCTTTGACGGCGGGGAATCCCCCCCAATGCAATGTCCAGAAATTATAGCAATTTGCTTGTCAAATTGTTGCCGACTTGGGCAATAAATCGTTGGCTTTATGGGCCGCTCTGCGTCGCCAGGTGATCGCGATAGAGTTGTTTTAGAAATAAATTCGCCAAAAAGGCTCTTGGCTTTTCGCCGACGATCCTCATTTAGTGGTTCGTAAACTTGTAAAATGTGCAATTTTGTCGGCCGGCTTTTACTTAAGTCGATCTTATTTTTCCTTTACTTGACTGATTTCGCTAATTTAATGGTGCTTTGCCATCGGTCGAGGAGCCAATTGAATAGTTGGCCGAATCGCCGGGGGCTTCAGATCGATGTGGAGCGATTGAAATATAGTTATGGTGATTTACCCGGCTGTGGGTGGTAATTTGCAATGTTTACGAGTGAAATGATGATTGGCTATTGAGCAGGCCAATTTCATAGGAATGTGTTAAGGAATTTAATAAGAATAATCAGGCATAAGCTCTTTAAATTTTTGTATTTAGTGAGATTTTATTTGGTTTCATAAATGTAGACAAATTGAAACTAAATTTAAGTAACAAATCGGTGTTCTTTTTGCGCTCTTGTAAGAGAGATTTTTCTGACTTAAACAGCTCTTACAAAATTAAAACTTAAAATTTAGCCATTTGCATTCAACATCCAACCAGCATGCATGCTCCTACATTCCATTCCCAATCCAAAATTCTGGCCATGCTTCGCTTCTGCAATTACGGACATTTTTATTGGCTCGCCTCTGGGAGCAACGCTTTGCACCTGCTATTGTTTCTATTTTTACGGGGTATACAACTCGATGTTTAAGCTTATATCAGTTATAAGAAATAATCTCTTATCTCTAAGCTCAAATTGATATTATCTTTATATACGTTTTTGAGAGATCTATAAAAAAAAAACACTTATTTATTTGTTTTATAATTTTTTAAAGGAGTTTGGGAATTATATATGGATTAAATTGCATGTTTTGGATTGCACTTTACCTTTTGATTATGCTTCATCTTTTTTAAGGGGTATCTTGTAGTTGGTAAACTCAAAGATAGAGTTGTTTGTTGTTGTTTTCCTGGCATCCCAGAACCTTGAAGTTGCTGTAGCTCCTGTAATTCGAAATGTTTACGGTACATTTAATTTCATTTGGATTATTACAATATGCTTTAGGAGGCAACTCCGTTCCTTCTGTTCGCCTGTCCTCTCCACCTCCAACCTCGAAGCTCCACCTCCATGCTCCATTTGCCAGGCCGAACAATGAGCCATGAAGATTGGGTGGTGCGGTGGATTAAAGGGGCAAATACCTCCATTTCCAGCTCCAACTCCCGAACCTGAACCCAAAAACCCTGAATCCAAGTCCCCTACCATTTTTGGCCAGGTGTAGCTGTGTAGCAAACGGACATATTTCATTGTTGTTGCCAAAGTGTAATTGCGAATTCCAGACAAATGTGAAATTTGAATTTACAAGTTTAACTTTTCTTCTGTGGAACTCTCGTCAGTGCTTTTGTTGTTGTGGCTGCTCTTTCTCCCTTTGTGGGGTTTATTTCTCTGTGCGACTCTAGTGAGCAGTTGGCAATTCTCGACTTAGTTCATTTGTTCCATTTCAACGCTTGCCAGCTGAAGGAGTCCTCGGGGAGGAGCAGCAGAGAGGTTCCATCTTCCATCTCCATCTTTTCGGGCTCCGCATAAACAAATGTACTCATGTCGCTGTTCCTTTCTCTATTTTCTGGTCCCATCTCGCTCTCCGCACATACATCCCTTTCACTTCGATTGTCCCATTTTCGTTGCCATATTTCCGGATTGTGGTACTTCGTCCTGGCCAAAATTGAAGGGGTATATGGTTTTGCTTATGTAACAGACGTTGCAAAACCCAGTGATTATCTACTTCTAATTAACTCTTTGTTTCAGAAATTAATAAGAAATATAAGAAGGTGATATCTTTTGAGATCTATTGATTAAAGATTTTAATTATAGAAATTTACGTATATTTTTATAAAACCTTATATTTTTCTGGGAAGTAATTTATCATAAAAAATTAATAAATAAATATTTTGCGATATATTGCAAAAGTATACTTATATTGTCAAACTGCCAATAACATACATTTTAATAAACAAATATAACGGAATATTTAAGTAAGAGAATAGAAATAAAACACATATATGTACTTTTTTTATCTAAGATCAGCTGGTTTTTAAGCTTTCTTACCAACTTAAGCTCTTCAGGAGGTATCCTACGATCCTAGAGATATCAGAGATCTCTGAAACCTCCCATAAAATACAGATTTTTATAAAACCTTATATATTTCTGGAATGTAATAAATCATAAAAAGTAAATAAATATATTGAATACATTTTAGTAAACAAATATAAGGGAAAATATAGGGATAGAGAAAGATACAATAAACATAATATTTCTTTATCTAAGATCAGCTGGTTCTTAAGGATTCTTACCAGCCTAAGCTTTTCAGGAGGTATCCTACGATCCTGGAGTTCCGTTTCTTTAAGCGTGCGGCTTATTTCGTTCCCTCTGTTCTGTTCTGTTCCTTGAAGGACGGCATCCGGATTCAGTAGCAGCTGCAGAAGGCTTAGGCTGAGATCCCGAAGTGCTTCACCTCAACGTGCCACAAAACTCCGCCATGAATGGAGGGTCCTTGAAGGCGAGGATATGCGGAATTCGTAGGATTTCGATGGTTCCTTGCGTAGAACTCCTCTGTTCTCCCATTCTAGTTTGGCTTTTGTACATTTGCTCGGCTTTTTGTTAGCTGAAAGGTGGGTTGTTTGTGTGTGTGTTTTGGTTTTTTGTCCAGGCTTTTGTGCTCGAGCGTTGTGCCGAAAAAGTTGCATTTCACGTCTTGTTGGACTCGGACTTGCTCCTTTCTTGCTGCAGTTCGCCCGCTGATTTGGCTTCTTCATATTTTGTAGCCATGTTGCCCACCAAAGTGGTGCGTTCCGGTTTGCCGCATAAAACACACTGCCACGCCTCCGGCGAAAACGCCCCCTTTTCCATCCCATACCCACACACACACACGTACGCACACAAATACAATTAGAGACTTGGTTTGTTGGTTCAACTTGTTTGCTTACATTCAACTTTATTTCACTTCTGCTGCGATGCTTTCTTTCAGCCACTATCCCTCAACCCGTTCAGTTGGCCGAGTCGAGTTGGCAGTGTGTAAAGTTTTTGGCCAACTTGGGCTCCGCTCCTCGGTGCCGCACTAGCTCCATTGTGTTTTCCAGGGGGCCGGAAGAGCGGATTCTGATTCAGCTGGAAGTGGAAAGTGGGTAGATGGGTGGATGTCGGAAGCGCCTTAACTTAATTCTGCTGGATTTCTATGCATCCTCGAACGAACGAGCGTTGGCATTCTCTGTTTGCTTAAATGTTGTATAATTCACTGATTTCTCTGTGGTTCTGTAGCCATTGTTGGATTTTTGTTGATGCTCCTGGGTGTGCCAGTGTGTGTGCTTGTTTCTTTGTGTGGCCATGTTTGTGATTACATTACGTATACGTACGTTACGTATACGTAATGTTCATTTGCCGAGCTGCCGGAACTTTGCGGTAAGTCCTTAAGAAATAGAATAATTGGAGGGATTACAAATGAATGGTGGACAATAGATAAAGCCATAAAAATATTACAAAAGCATACAAATAATCATAAACTAATACATATTTGTATTTGAAATTGAATTGCAAACTGTTAACTTTAAACAGCGAAGAACATTTATTTATTTTTAGGATAATACTTTTTCCTGAAATTAGTTGTTAATATTTTAATTTTTATTTAGACCAAAAGTTTAATATTAATTTTATTAATATTATCAATGTTTATATAATTATTCGTTTTCCTCGAAGTCGATATTTTTTGGTCGAAGATATGTAGCAAAGTAAATAGGAAACTTTCGAGATGTATAAGTCTGTCCATCTGCTTCTATGCTACGAGTTTCTTCCCTGTTGAAGTATATATCTATAATCACTTTCCAAACCAATAAAATCTAAATCAGTTAGACATCGGGTGCTCTCCGCTTTTAAACCAAATTGTTTTCCCTTATTTTTGCGAGCCTCGCTCTTTGGCATCTTCCTTCAGCCTACTTTTGTCCAGTAGATTGCAATAAAATAACCCAAAATACGTTACCCAAGCCAATCCCAATTTCAGTCGATTCCCTCTTGGAAAACGTAAGGAAACGAACATGGACTGAACATTGTAAATTGTTGTCCGAAAATTTATTGGCAGCACTTATCAGATTCACTCATAAATCTGCAAAAAGCCCGTCTCCAAAGCCGTGCTCGCCGTCTCTTTCGCTCCTTGGCGATGCGTGGGTGGCGGTATCTGTGTGTGGGTGAGAGTATCTGTGTGTGAAGCAGAGTACAGATAGAAAAAAAGGGCATGGAAAAGAAATTCAAATATTTAAAATTATTACTGCAGCTAAAAATATTGTGGAAAAAGATATATTTTTAAAATATTTGTAGAAATAGTTTTATTTTTTAAATTTAAAAGATAAACAAATTTAAATCTAGTCAGCATAGTAAAACTAAAATTGTAAGCACAGTCAAAATTTTAATAGCTCAATATTGTATAAAAACATGGAGTTATATAAAACATATCATTATATCTATCGCCAATAAAACTAGTTCGACTTCAGCATACCCATTACCCATTACCATGATTTCTCCAAGTGTACCCTAGTGTGGGTGGGTGGATTGTGCGAGACATTTATTTGCATGCCTCGCCCGACTTTGCCTCTCTTTCGGTGCTCCATTTCGGTCGCACAATCCACAAATTAACATGACATTTTTACAAGCCCAAACATGTGTACACATGGGCCCGAAAGTGAACCGAACCACTCGAAATTAATAGCCAGCAAAGCAGCATCGGGCGCACATAAGCCGCTCATTCGATGTTGATGTGGATGTGAATGTGGATGTGGCCTAAATGGACAGCGGGACCTTCGGACGGACATTTATGGACATGGCCGAAAAAGTCAAACATTTGAACAGACGGGGGCGTAGAACACCGGAGCATCGAACAGGTTGCCATTTTATGCATCCATAAATTTAATTACTCAAAGCTACAAAATGGGCAAAACAAAAAGCCATTAGCTCAGGTGGAAAATGCAGCACAGTCGAACTTCCATAGCTCGAATTTCAATGATTTAAACTAAGTTTACAAGGCTACCCTGTCATTATGCACAATATTCAACTGTCAGGCAATTTAATATGATATTAAACTACAAATAATTTTTGAATGAGAAAATGATTTATTTTACACAACAATATCATCTTACCTTTTAAATCAATTAATTACCCATTTAAAATAATACATTTGGAAAATAAATAATTGATGTATTATTTATGTTTATTGTGAAACCGTTTTATAAAATACGAAAAAATGATTATTAGTTCTATTTAATGTGTAAGAAGATTATTTAAAAGTTATTTAACTTTTTAAACCTACATTCATAAATGCGTTTTTCGAGTTTGAGAATTTCACCTGTATGCTCTTTCTCTTTCGCTCCCACTTGGATGTTCGATAATCTGGGCCAAGTGATGTGCATACCCAGTCAAGATGCAGGTTTTTCATTGACAGGAGACGAGTCCATAAGAGAAAGACCTCAAACAGGGGAGGAGACAGCCAAATAGAGAGGAGGAAAAATCATGACAAAACATTTGGCCAACGAGTTTTCCTTTTCTTTGTGTTGTGTGGTGTATTGCGTTTTTTTGCGTCATCTTTTTTTCTTTTTTTTTTTTGGTTCCACTTGAATGAGAATGACGAGAGGACGTCGACGATGATGAAGTTATCAGGCAAAAACAAGCCAAAAGTTGGCACAGTTTCAAAAAGTTTGGCCCACATAGAACAGAGGACACAAGAGGGGCTAACAATCAGAAAAGCAGACTGCAAATTCTGAAACAAGGCACACGAACTTTGCAGAAAGAGACGGCTTGAGTGGGGGGAAGAGGGAGACGGGGCTACGGTGCGGCGAAAGAGACGGGGCTAAACGGGCACCGAGGACATCAAGCATTTCCGTCCAAGTGCGAATGAGTTTAGCTCTCGGATCTCTGTCAATAGCGAGGAGTGGCACATGGACAGGAGCCACAGGAACTGCCGGCAAAAACAACAGCGACACCAGTAATAACAACAACATCAAATGCAACAACAACGATAGCAGTTGACAAATGCAACAAACGACAAGTTAAAATTCATGTTCATTGTAGTTGCCACAAGTTTGCCTTTGCTGAGGTTAAAACACAACATTTCTCGACATCAAACCAACAAGCTGGGAATGTAAATGGTAATTGACAAACAGCAGCTTAAGTATTTTAAAATGATTTTAAGTGTAGTGGTCTCTGTAAGCCATGGATAAATTAAGAAACATTGATCGACATTTAAAATTAAGTGAAATTCTGTAACTTAAACAGTATTTCTTATATCCATTAGATATCCAAAAGAATATATATTTAAATTTATAAGCTCGATTATAGTTAACGATGCCTACAACTTTAAGATTCTTTATAAAATATTTTAGAATTACTTCTCTATTCTATTATAGATTCTGTTTAAAACTATATCGGATATTAAAAACAACAAATTTAGCTAAAAAGTAATGGAATTAATATACTTTATTAACAGCTTATCCAAAAAAGTAACCTTCAAATTCAGTGCTAAATATTTCAGTTTTCCTGCTCTATTTGCCAAATAAAACGTCACCCCATCTAATGCCAAGTATTTCAATTATTCAAATTTCCAAAAAGTAAAAAAAGCCTGATTGTTGGCAGTTTTCATTTCACTCACCAATCCCAAACAAAACATTTGCGCACTATAAGTGGCCAGAATATTTTACCGCCTGATATCTGCAGATGGAAAGTGTTTCTGCCACCTCACCTGACTGACTGACTTCCGTTCTTCGTTCCACTTTAGACAATAATATGACGTATGTTGGGGCCAACATGAAGTTAGCCCGCAAAATAATAAAATGGCTATAATAAATTTCTGTTTTGAAAAATATTTCCAGGAATTCGGGGATGGATTGTATGCCAGCCAGCCTTTCAAGCGGAAATTGCACATTTTGCAGAAGTGCTCCCCCGGGGGAATCGGGATGAGATGGAGTATAAAAGGAATTAGGAATGCAATTTGAGGTTATGTTGGCAATGTGCAACCGGGCTAACTGTACCACCACTAACATGGTTGTGCACTGAAAAAAAAGGGCTACAAAATACTCACTTTAATTCTCATTTAAGAAATATTATTTTAATAAATTTGATACCTAATTCGATACCCAATTTTAAATAGTTATGACTGTAAAATAAAATTTTCATTAAATAAAAATTAATTAAATTTAAATAAATATATTCCTTTAAAAATATATGTTTTTAAAAATGTTTAAGGACTTTGGTGTAAAAAAAGTAAATTTATAGAATAAGGGTTGTCCTCAAAATGAATATTTTCTTTTATAAAAATGTCAATGGAATGTATAGAACTTTACAGAAATCTTTTAAAGTGCATCGCACCACCAACTCATGCTGACCACATCTGTATGCGCATTTGTTTAGATGAGAGACGGTATGTGTGTGTGTCAGTTAGACAAACAGACAGTTGGACTGACACTTGGACAGATGTTGGGATACGTAGAGAGCCTGGAAGTTGGACTTGGACCCGGCTAAGGTCTGACAGCTGTACCCAGAACTCGTCCTCCACCGCCCAGAAAACCCTTTCCCAAATATTAATAGACGAAATTTGAGTATTGCTTCCGTCATGAATAAAATTTCTGCATCCAGAGGGCAGCTGCAGCGCATGGGGAACGTTGTAGGGCTCCCCCGGAAAACTTTTGACAATCCTCCCCTAGCTCCACACCTCCACTCTCGAAAACTTCTCATCCAGAGTTGGACTATTCGCATTGTCCAGGGCTGCAGTTTCCTTGCCCAAAACTTTTCAAATTGTCCATTCAACGTCCATTCAGCTGTCTGTTTTTGTGGCTTCGTTTCTCGTTTTTCCATTTTTATTTTTTACTCTTCTTTTAATTTTAATGATGCCCTCTGAAAAATGTAAAACGCTTGCGTTGCCGCAGAGCTAAAAACAATTTGGGGTATGTGCATTTTATGGGCGCATCGGGATTCTTCTGTTCCCAATGGGTGGAGTTGATTGCCCCTCACGTCTTTTCTTGTGGTTATAGTTTCATTTGGAAAAGGAATAAAGTTTAAGCTTGAAATGGTGCTACTGTTTGACTACCTAAAATTTAATTGGATTTTTTATTAATTTAGTAAAATAATTATTAGAACATTTTCTCACTTTGTTTCCCTTCAAAACAGGCGATTTAATACATTTTTAAGACCGAATCTCAATTTAAAAATGCAGTTTAATCAATCAAAAACAAAAACCGATTTAGCCACAATCGTTACGCCCATCAGACGGAAATTCCAGCACTGCAAAATTCAAAATGCAGAAATTGAAAGAAACGCAGCGAAACGAACTGAGCTGAAACCACAGAACGAAATGCGGTAACACGCAAAACTTTGCTGAATCAACTACTAAAAGATTTATGGTATCAAAATAGTGCCACATAAAATATTCACACCTTGGCCCGGCTGCCAGAATCTAACGACTCCGGAGGGAAAGGGATTTTCGTGGGCCAACCGACCAACCGACCGAACAGCCAACCGGAGAAAGCCAACCAACTGATGCCTTTGGCCCGATAAAGCCATTGTTTATACTCCGCACAGCGACTGGGTTGTGGATTGCATTTTGGCCATAAGTTGGCAACATTTTTTATGCGTTCATCATGCGGTCAGCATAAATTTTTCATCGCCTTCGCTGCTGCCGCTTTTCCTTCGTTCAATTTTCCTTCGCCGTGCGCCGTGTGTTCCCCCAATTCCCACGAACATGTTGCCAATTTTGATGTCTGACGCCCATAAATCAGGGCGTTTAAAGTCGCCAGATGAAAAAGAAAAACTAGTAATGAATAATTCCTTTTTGGCCAAAACATATAGACCATTTATTCCACACCAATATATGCTTGTGACCATGTTTTGTGTTTGCGTGTGTTGTGTGTTGGGTTGAATGCTTGCGTAGGGGAAGTCTTGGAACAAAGGACGTGTAGGCGAGTGTAACTAGAGAGACACCAATCATGCAAAAGTACGAAAAACCAACTAATGATGGGCTCAAGGGTTCGTCAACGCCAATGGGGGACCTTGCTAACAGATTTTCCTGAAAAGAAAAGTTGTATAAATAATCATTTTATATCATATTGTTATACGGACGCTCTCGTGAGCGGACAAGCTTTTTTCGTGAATCTTTAAGTCTATGAATCGGTTCATAAAATATAATCAATACTAAAGAACCACACTAGATCTTTTACGGACGCTCTCTTAAGCGGACAACCTATTTTCCGAGACTTATTACTCACCACAATTGAATGATTGATTGCCCTTGCCGTACTTCGTTGATTCGTGCATAGATGGTGTGCTGTGGGGCAGAAATTAAAAAGGATTGCTAAAGATCGAATTAGGATGCTGAACATCTGGGTGATATCTACTTACTTCAGTCCATTTCGAAGTTCTCGGTATGGCGCCATGTCGTAAGAGGGCTTCATGCGATTGACCTGTTGCTGCTGCTGGTGGTTCGATTGCTGTTGGAAGTGGTGCTGCTGCTGCTGGTGGTACTGCGGCTGGTGGCTCTGAATGGGTTGGCTATACTGCCACATATTGCCATTGGCCATGGAGCCGGGACTAGAGTTCCAGCTACCAGGATGCGAGGGTGACGAGGGACAGGAAGCAGCCAGGCCACCATTACCACCGCCAGTCAGGCGACCCTGATGCATTTGGGTGGTGGAACCAGACTGGCCGTACTGCTGCATCGGCTGCATCTGACCCATCGATGTCATGGGCTGCAGATCGGGCAGCACTGCATTTATACCCGGAGCATCGATGGCGCCCATGGGATTGCCCATCATCGGCATCATGGTCATGCTGCTCAGCGGAGTAACGGCTCCAATTGGCAGCTGGGTGGTCATCGTGGACATGGGCGTCATCTGATTGCCAGCGGGCATCATGCCCAGCGGGATTCCCTGCATGGGAAACGAGGACATCTGGGTGGCACTCGACATGGGCATCTGCATCTGCAGATTCATCTGGGGAGGATTCAGGGGCTGCATGGCCATCGACTGTCCATGTCCCTGCTGCCCAGAACCCATGCTCAAAGGATACTGAGGCACGCTCTTCATCTAAATACCGAGAAAAAAAATAAATTTTATATACACTGAACAAAGATCCGCCTTAATTCTACCTTGGAATCGGCGTACATGCCGTAATCAGCTTCGTAGGGCACTGAACAAAAATTCATTTTCAATTTGTGGAAAATTCGTGTTATATTCCGAAAAGAATTATACAAAAATTTTAACTAAAAATTTTGTAGACAAATTTTTGAGAATTTGGTTTTACTTTTTTTTATAGATCTGAATACTACGATGAACGAAATACGAATGACCTAAGGAACGACAAACTTCCCAGACTTCTGACACTAATGAGAAAGGTCTACTTCGATCGAGAGGTAAAAAAATCAAAAATCTAAAGCGATTGAAGCTAAACATCGCATTGGCTTTGGAAAATTAAATATTTGGAAATTTTAGAGTCTTCTCGTTTTTAGGTAATCCAAAATTTGTTGTTACCAATTCGATTAAATGGGACGAAAAGGCCACAAGAGCAAGAAGAAAGTCAAAGTGCACTTGAAAGGCCATCATCCTGGGAAAACAAAAATTAGGCCTGTCAAGAAGCCCCGCGAAAATCACCACAAGAAGCATAGTGTCAACACCCACTGTCATGGTCACACTCACACGCATTCCCACTGTCATGGTCACACTCGCATCCATCCCCGCCCAAGGATTCTAAAGTCGAAGGTCTTCCACAACAACTGCTGCAAGTACAAGATCCGCTCGCGACCAATGAGACTCAATCAGTGCAATCTGGCCACCCAGTGCCCCTCTCGCACCATCCCCCTCGCCGCCTCTGTGCCGCTCCTGGGACATCCTGTCCGGCGGAATGTGGTTCGCCTGCCGGAAACCGTGGTCATGGACATGCGAAACATGGAGGACGCCCGTCGAGTGGCAGCCAGTTATAGAAATACCCTCATCCAAGCCCATGTCCCAGTTCCGGACATCGAAGAGGAGGGGAGTCCGGAGGCTCTTCACCGAATAGATCTGCGGCCACGAGTTGCCTATAGAAGGGGTCGGGAGAGGACCTTTCCCAGTGACATGGATTTGTGCGAGAACTACTTTCAGTGAGGAAATATATTCCACCTAATAAATATTTCTGCGCTTCACATAGAAAAGTTTTTCATTTATCGCTTGTGTTTATTAATATGTATATTATCTTAAAAATCTATATTTATTGATTATTCAAGTATGAACAATAGGGCGGTCCACATTTGTATGGAAAATTTTAAGGTCCTACTCTCACCCGCTTATACGGTGCGCATTGTGGTATTCAAGGTATATCAAAAGACAATTTTTAAAAAAATCGTGTTTTAGGGTTTGCGAATTGGTTTCAAAGTTTATCACCCATACGCACTGTTGCCTTCGATCAAAAAGTTTTTCTAATCAAGGTGGCATAGATATCAACAATTCAGTTGATGTTTTGCTCTCCTTTTTTTACCAATTATTCCAACGAAATTCATAATTTGACAAGACAAGAAATGGAAGAGCGATTTTTTTCGAACAAATTCGAACTGTTATACATGTCGTATGAGTAATTTTAAAGCAAACTTTAAAGACGTTTCGCAAGGTCTAAATTCGGAAAAAAAAAAATGTTTTGTTTTCACATACATTTTTTGAATACTTTAATATACCATGTTAAGGGGTGAGAAAAGAATTTCATTTTTTGGACCGCCCTAATGAACAAGTATTCTTAAAATGAATCTTAAAAGTTTTATAAAATAGATGGATATTTGTTCTGAACTTATAATAATCTGAAAATAATCTTTATAGAAATAGTTTTACAACTCACAGCTCTTTCAACCTTTATCAAAAAACCATTTCAGTTCCTTTTCTTGCTCCACACTTTATTTTTATACCCTTGTAGAGGGTATTATAATTTCAGTCAGATGTTTGCAACGCATTGAAGGAGACGTTTCCGACCACATAAAGTATATATATTCTTGATCAGCACCAATAGCCGAGTCTATCTAGCCATGTCCGTCTGTCCGTCTGTCCGTCTGTCCGTTTCTATGCGAACTAGTCTCTCAGTTTTAAAGCTATCGCGATGAAACTTTCCCGAAGGTCTTCTTTCTATTGCAGGTAGTACATATGTCGGAGCCAGCCGGATCGGACCACTATATCTTAAGGCTCCCAAACAAATATAAGAAAATTCATTGTAACTTTGTAGGAAGTAGGCGTTTTGATTCTTGACTACTTAAAAACAAAATTGAAATAAATCGAAACGCTGAATCTGGAATCCCTAAATCTGCACCGAGTGAGTATTCTTTTATCTACAAGGGTATATAAGCTTCGGCTGGCCGAAGGTAGCTTCCTTTCTTGTTAGTTCCTCATTCCGCGAACCAAATTTCCCCTGTGGATAGAATACGGATTATTTAAGTACCTTTAACTAGTTGCTTCGCCCCCATGGGCATATCGTGATCATCCATAAGGCCACGCCTCCACGCTCCCCTCCCCCTACAACAACCCACCCAGGCTGTCCAGGACAATTAATTTTGCCCCGGCTTGTCAGCTTATTGTTTATCTACATAAATACGGAATACGGAACACGAAGAACGGCTGCCCTGAGCTGTCGTGTCATTTATTTTGCTCCTCCGCTCCGCTCAGCCACGTTCGACTTTCGATATCCTTTCGGCCGTGGTGCAGTTGCCACACCATTTATGCCATTAAGTCATTAGCTTTGTTTAACAAATAACAAACTGTCAATGAGTGATTAACGATGTTTTTCGCATGAACTGCAATTAGCCGCCGCCGTGGACGCCGCTCGCCAGCCCGAGTTCTTCTTCCCTCTGACAAATGGGTGTGATTTCGCTCCCAGCGGTGTTTCCAGTGGATCTGGGTTCCGAGGTGCACTGCCTGGATGTGGATTGATGGGTGGTGGGTGAGATGGGAGGTGGGTTGGTGACAAGCACTCGTTATTGATGCGCCCCCAAGTTGCCGTCACTTGGCAATTATTGTGTATTGTGCTTCAAGTCAACGGCATTTGCCATAGTCATAGACATAGTCATGGAACAGTCACACTCATCACAGTCATCATTGAACAGCCAGAGGTGGCATATTCTGAAGAGAACGCTATATTGACTATTTCAAAAAGTTAATGGTGAAAACTGTTCCACTTAGCAAACTATTGATCAATATTATGATAGATTCTTCAGGTATAAAAAAATTATAAGCTTTAGAAAACCTAATCTATTAAGGTATTCGATTTTTAGCCTATCATTATCATTTTTGGTATAATCCGTACTTCGGTAATAGTTTAACCTCCAAGTTGATTCGATACATTTTTTAGTACATCGTTGAAAAGTAAAGATTGTTAAAGGCAGTTCTTTTAGATATACTTTTAGCTATTACCCAGAATTTATAGCTGCCAACTCTGATGGTGAGTGGGAGTGGAAGAAGGTGTAGAACGAGTAGAAGGAGCAGTGAACGCAATTATACCCGTTGACAAGTGTAATGTCAGCCAACCGCGGCTGCCATTCTCATTGGCATCTCCACGAAGCTCCATTTGCCAACCATCCCGCTGCTTCTGCTGTCGACGTGACGCGCTTCATCACTCACTCGCTGGCTGCTAACACGCTCCCCAGTTACCCACTTAGCCGGCCCACTCCACTCAGCCACTCAGCTCGACGGGAGGACTACGACTGGCGCCCGGCTCATTTCGATCCCTGCACTTTGTTTTCAGAGGCAGGAGCGCAGCAGGTAAAACTAAACTAGGGCCTTATAATATAAAGAAGATATTAAAGTAATAGTTTAAACCATTATGCTTCATAGAAATCTATATAAGCTCAGCCTATTTATACACAATCTGTAAAGTTTGCATTCCTTCTATAACAGAATTAAGAACCCCTCTCGCAATCCATGTCCATATAATATTGAGAGAAACATATTCCTTTCAACGTTGCATAATTATGGTTTGCTACTTTCATAACTAAGTATTCAAATAATTATCGAAGAGCCCGAAGACAAGCTAAATATTTATTTATAATAAGTAGGTATTTATTGACAAAAAACTTATAATTGAATATGTACACTCATACCTATAGGTACCTATATTTGCTTAAGAAAAAGTTCTCAGTAAAAATTAGGATTCATGTTTTTGGTTTAAGCGTAGAGATACCTTATACAGATTTGTTATACTGTATTTAATAATCTTGGATTAACTTTTGTTCATATCTAAAACTAGAAACCGGAAAACCCCTTGAACCGCTCCTGCTTAGCAATATTTACACTGTAATTATTATGCAAAATGCAATTGACTCCATTATTTACGATATTGTTAAACTTCGTGGGCAGAGTGCTAAATGGGGTGAACCACATTGGATGGCGACAACAAAACTTTCAATACATATATAAATATATACATTGCTAATTCCATATTTCTATGTACATTTTGCATATATTTGTAATCAGGCAGCACAATATAAATGAGTTTGTGTGAGCGGTCGCTAATTGCCTTTGCCAGAAAGTTAATTACGGCGAAATTTGAAAATTTCAAAATTGGACTTGTCAAAAACATTTTGACGTTTCCCTTCAGATGCCCGCCACCCGAATTTCAGCCATCAGTTGGAGGAAATTAGTTTTACAAACTTTTGCGTTTTGCATTTCGAATTTCGCACTGTTTTGGATTCAGTTGACTTTTGACTAAAAGTTGGTCTCCCATTGTCGGGCTTCGACACTCATTATGCGGCATTATTATGACTATTAGCACTCGAATATCAAACATAAATGAGAAAATGCCATTCATCAAGTGGAGTGTTGATGTCCATTTCCCAGGCCTAATTAAATACCATGGATATGGTTGTGAATGCGTGTTAGTACACCCAGAAAAATGATGGACAACATTTTAGGTCATGCATAGCCTAAAACATTTTAAATGGACTAAAAGTTCCTTTTTAGGTCATGTACTGCCTATAAATTTAAATTTTTGGTATATTTGCCCTACTATTTAGGTCCCGTATAGCCTAATATTTTAGGTCAGCGTGGGCCTTAAAATTAATGCCTTTTACCTAAATAAATTTGCACGGAACTCTGATACCGTTTTGGCAACGCTATAATTCCCAACCAGTTATAGCGCGGCTTGCATGGTAACCCACTTCGATCGTTGAATAAGACAGCGATTTCTCTGCTGAACAGTGAAGCCTCCTCGCTCCTTTTTGTGTGTTGGCATAATGACGACTTCTTGAAGACTAAGCCCGACATTGAACTCGAGTTAGCTATAAACTTTTCTGTATTTACTTTATAATATTATAAATTTTTCAGTACATATTTTTAGGCCAAAGAAGGCCTAAAATTTTGGATAGGGGTTTTCTCATATTTTTAGGCAGCCAATTACCTAAAATCTAGGCCCATTTTAGGCCTTTAATGGCCTAACATTTTAGGTCATGGTATCCTAAATTTTAGGCCATTCAAGGACTTAGCTCCAGTTTTAGGCCAATTTTACCTAAATTCTAGGCCATTTTTTGACATTTTAGGTCATTTTTTTTTCTGGGTGTAAGTGGTGTTGGTTTCAAAAAATGGCATTAAAATTGCAAACAAAAATAATTGTAAAGTCAGCATTTTCAGCGAAATGTCATTTGTGAAATGTGATTTGATTTTCGCTGGTGTCAAAGATGAGAGCAGGAAATGAAAATGTAGTCAGACTTTTGAATTAGCTGTTAGTAACTTTTTGCAACATTTAATGAACACTACACCGATAACTAATACCTTTGTTAAACATTTAACGAGCTACCGGGAAATTTGCATTGTTCAAAGAGGGAAGCATACAATCTTTTTGCTCATTACAGGAAAGCTACTATAGGAAATGAGAAACTAGGGGCTCTTCCTTTTCGCAGGTGGCGGGAAAAACTTTGCCGGTGCTCCCTCTCCTCATTACTCATTAGACATGCACGCCGGTCTAAGGTCTTTGATTTAACACCTAACAGAGGAGCCGAGCTGGAGAGACAAAGGCCTCATTAATTAGGAATGTTAAGATGATGAAAACTAATCTGCTAAAAGCACACTCTCGCTACTTTTTAGCACCCCCCTTTCGGCATACCTTCAGAATCCTTTAGGTGAGTCATTTGTCTGCCAGGATCAACGGATGGCGGAATAGGAGGAGTGGCTTT